GTTAATTCTGTGGTTATTGAGTTTATTCAGTGGCTGTTGAGTTAACTCCATGGCTGTTGACTCCAAACCTCCCCGGGCACTCCCTTCCAACCCTTTCCACGGCAAAATTCCTCCTGAACTCCATCCTGCCCCTCCCCTGGCACAGCTTGAGGCCGTTTCTCCTTGCCCTGTCCCTTTTTCCCTGAGAAATAAAACACAAACACAAATTCCCACTGTGTTTCCCCAGCCTACGAGCTGCAGGAATGCCCCGACCCGGAGCCCTTTGCCAACGGCGTGGTGAGAGGAGCCGGCTACAACGTGGGCCAGTCCATCTCCTTCGAGTGCCTGCCTGGCTACCAGCTCATCGGGCACCCCGTGCTCACCTGCCAGCACGGCACCAACAGGAACTGGGACCACCCCCTGCCCAGGTGTGAAGGTACGGCCTGGGCTCACCTGGGCACCTCGGGATGCTCTGGGAGCAAAGGTGTGGCTGGGAATGAGCTCTTGGAGGGATCCATGAGGTGTTTTGGTGAATATTTGGGGTGTTTTGGCAGCTTCTGAGAGGGGTTTGAGTCTTGAGCACCAACAGGAACTGCCCAGGTGTGAAGGTACGGCCTGGACTCACCTGGGCACGGAGCTTCAGCTCCTTGGAATGGGCTGGGATTGCTCTGGGAGAGAATGAGCTCTTGGAGGGATCCATGAGGTGTTTTGGTGAATATTTGGGGTGTTTCAGCAGCTTCTGAGAGGGGTTTGAGTCTTGAGCACCAACAGGAACTGNTGGGACTGGGATTGGTGCTGATGTTGGGTTTGGTGTTGATGTTGGAGCTGGGGCTGGAGCTGGGTTTAAAACTGGGGCTGGGGCCAGCACTGGTGCCAGTGTTGGGGTTGGTGCTGCTGTTGAAGCTGCTGTTGGTGCTGATATTGGAGCTGGGGTTGGTTCTGATGTTGGGGTTGGTGCTCATGTTTGAGCTGGGATTGGTATTGAGATTGGAGCTGGGGCTGATGTTGATGTTGGGGTTGGTTCTGCTATTGGAGCTGAGGTTGATGCTGATGTTGGGGTTGGTTCTGCTATTGGAGCTGAGGTTGATGCTGATATTGGGGTTGGTGCTGGCCTTGTAGCTGGGGTTAGTCTGATGTTGGAGCTGGGTTTGGTATTGGGATTGGAGCTGGAGTTGGTGCTGCCGTTGGAACTGGGTTTATTGCTGATGTTGGTGCTGAGATTGGAGCTGGTTCCAGTGCAAAATCTCAGCTGCAGTTTTAGAGCCCAACTCCTCCTTCCCCCTCTCCAGGTGCCCACATCCAGTTCCTGAACTTCTCCACGGAGCCCAACCACGACTTTGTGGAGATCCGGAACGGGCCCTACGACACCAGCAGCGTCATCGGGCGCTTCAGCGGCGCCGAGCTGCCCGGCTCGCTGCTCTCCACCTCCCACGAGACCACCGTGTACTTCCACAGCGACCACTCCCAGAACAAACCCGGCTTCAAGCTGGAGTACCAGGGTGAGCAGGGACAGCACTGCCCCGCCCCGGGGGTGGCGGTTCTTGAGTTGACTCCGTGGCTGTTGAGTTAACTCAGTGGTTGATGAGTTAATTTTGTGGTTATTGAGTTAATTCTGTGATTGTTAATTCCATGGTTGCTGAGTTAATTCAGTAGTTGTTGAGTTAATTCTGTGGTTGTTGAGTTAGCTCCGTGGTTGTTGAGTTAATTCCGTTAATTCTGTTAATTCCATTGTTGTTAACGTCATGGTTGTTGAGTTGAATTAATTCTGTGGTTGTTGAGTTGAGTTAATTCTGTGGTTGTTGAGTT